CAATTTACTACTAATGTTGTTTGTCTAGTGTTTGTTCATTCCTATGTTTTGTAAACAAACAACGTTGTTGGAGGATGGATGGAATAGCGCTTCAACGACGATATCAAATGGAGGTTGGCGGAATTGTGGAGAGAAGCCTACGCTATTCAAAGTTAAAGATCAAGTTCAAGCTTCATCCGCATAGTGTACCAAGTCAAGCTTATTGAAGATCAAGATCGGCTTGGGTAATCTAGTTTAGGTTTTATATTATGTGTGTTAAGTACCTTAAGCTCAATATCATATACACACATGTATTTGGTTTCTATGTATATATATAGTTATATATATATATATATATACATGCATGGTTTTGGATTTTCATGCTTTGGACACACTTGTAAAATACATGAGTTTTCACAAATAGAAATTTAATTTAAGAAATTCTTTTTCTAACATATTTGTTTTCATGTTTATAAACATTTCACAAAGTTTCAAAAGTTGGTTTATGTCAAAACATAAAAATTCAAGTATATCATATTTTTATGTTTTTGACTATTTTGTAAAATGATGATATTTTCATTTGGGAAGTCCTTTCTGATAACCAGTCGTTATAGCATGTTTATTATCATGTCTACAATCATTCCCCAAAGTTTTATATATTTTGGAATTTATTTGATATTTTTAAACAGTGTTTTAAAATCAGCAAAACAGCTTTCAGACTTTATTTTTTCATGTATCAGATTTCGGTCACCGGTCGACCGATCATTTGATCTTTCATCATTGGGCGACAGAGAGTCTGTCGGGCGGCCGGTCCGGTCGAACGAGAGCTCCATCGGTCGACCGCACCGGTCGACCGACGATGGTCCAGATCGTTTCTTCGGGTTTTTGCTCTCCGTCGGTCGACCGATAGAATTTCCGGTCGACCGCCAATATGACCGTTGTTTTCCCAACGGCTATTTCCTGAGCTGTTTTGCTGGGGCTGTTTCTGTCTTTTGTTTGGGTTTTGGCTGAGTTTTTGAGAGGGTATAAATACCCTATTGCCTCTCTCTTTCAAGTTAAGCTAAGAAGTTTTTAAACAAGGGTTTAAAAAAGAGTTTAAGCTTGTTTAAGCTTGTTTAAGGGTTTGGTTTAAAGCAGTTTTTAAACAAGGGTTTAAAAAAGAGTTTAAGCTTGTTTAAGCTTGTTTAAGGGTTTGGTTTAAAGCATATTTAGCTTCCACAAGTGGAGGAGATTATCTTATTGTTTGAGCCTCAAATCTCCATCTCTCCATCTTGATCTAGAGAAGTTTTCCTAAACTCAACTCTAGCTTTTACTTATAATTATTTGTTAATTATCATTTCTATTAAAGCTAGTTTTATATTGAGTTTAGATTTGATTTTATATTACTCATTGTTACACACACCCACATTGAGCTTTTAGTATTTTACATACATAGTATAGTTGGGTGGTGAGAGATTGTAACTTTGAGTTGTGCTTTCATTGTGTTCTCATCCATAGTTGAGAACAATCATTTGTTATATTGTGCTTATTGTGAGATTCACTTTGTAATACACTTGTACACCGAGTGAGGAGTGTGTGGTGAGAGTCGGGGATCGTCCCAAGAGGAGTGGCGTCGGTTGACGTGCCTAGGGAGAGGTTGTAACCGAGCACTTGAGGGAGACACGGCTAGGTCCAACACTTAGTGGGTGTAGAGTGGGATTACAATAGTGTGTTGATTATAAAGTTTTCGGTTAGCTAGAAAACCGAGTGTGAGGTGTAAACGTTGTTCGGGTGAACGTAGAAAACCCGGGTGATAGTGGATTTCTCCCCGGGAGTGGGGAGCGGAGACGTAGGACGGAAGGTCCGAACTCCGTGATCACTTGATTGTGTTTGAGTGTGCTTTGGCGTTCACTTTCATTTATGTTCATATCTTATATCGCCATTGTGCATTGCTCATTACTACATCATCCACTATCTTGTTTAGATTATCTACCCTTGTGTTGTTTATATATCCTTGCACATACATTGCCTATATCTCATTATTAGGATATATATTGTTGTTCATATTGCTTATCCTAGCTCATATACATAGTTGTATTTCATACTTGCTAGGATAACTTGTTAATTAATTTTAATTAGCATTTAATCGGATTAGATTAGCATAAGACCCTAATCACCCCCCCTCTAGGGTCTAACATCTGTTGCGGCGTGCGAGGGACTGTACGATGTCTAACGATTCCCTCCTTCTTACAGAACTCATTAAATTCTCCTCCACAAAACTCAAGACCATTATCAGTTCTAAGCCTCTTAATCAGCCTCTCAGTCTGCTTCTCAATCAAAGACTCCACTGCTTGAAAGTCACAAACACTTCATCTTTATGTCTCAAAAAGTAAACCCAAACCTTCCTGGAGTAGTCATTAATGAAGGTCAACAAATATCTTGAACTACCACCCCTCGAGGCAACTTGAGAAGGTCCTCAAAGATCTGAATGGATATAATCCAAAGTATCTTTAATCTGATGCACTGTCATTCTGAAGCTGACTCTCTTCTGCTTCCCAAAGATGCAATGCTCGCAGAATCCCAATTTTCATGTACTTTGTCCACATAAAAGACCATTCTTACTCAACTCGATCAATCCGCGCTCACTCATATGACCAAGTCTCATATGTTATAATCTGATAGTATCAACTCCTAACATCAACGATGCAACTGCAGCCGAGCCAATAACGGTAGAAGCCTGCAAAACATACAAGCATAAACTCCAAACTTTCAATCACAATTTGCAATAATAAAATAATGCAAATTGTAGCAGCTTCATTCGGATGAGATAAGGTCCCCAGAAATCATATACAACAACATATGGAAATAAACAAATAGTTGTTATCCTCTCCTGAAGGTCAGGGTGCATTGTATCTGGCTAGCTGGACGATATATAACAAAGTTCCGCTGACAATTTCACAACAAAGTTGTGGGCGAGAGCCAGGGATATAGGACCTCTTCGTTCTTTGGTTTCCTCTCCCTCAATTATAAAAATGTACCAATTATTATGGTTAGCATAAATTATTTAATCCTACTTTCACCAACAGGGGAGTCAAGCCGATTCGATATTTCTCTAGTTGCAATGAGTGCCGCAGACAGTGACACTAAAAAAGTAGTGTTCGTCCGAAACTAGTTTAGTATAAAATCAAAATCATAACACCTGGATTGCAGTATTTAATGAGACTAAACTAGTGCGAAGCCATCCTGCATAAAGATTAGGGATGCAAGATCCTAGTAACGTATTAGGATCCATTTAGTTTCACATTTATTATTGGCCAAATGGAAAACCGATTAGAGTTTGACACAACTTTGTACGTGACATGGGGTCCTATAGAAGATCCAAATTTATAACATTATACTTACAAAAAAAATTAAATCTAAATCAAGGCAAATAATCCCTTTAAATTGTTTTCGTCATAGTACTTAGCTACTAAAGTCTATAATAACTAGAGCACCTGTGAATTAAAGGAACAGAGAGTTCTTAGATTATGTTTAAGGTCGACATAAGAGAATGAAATAAGAAAAGACCCACTTGCTTTAAGATAGCAATGTGTAGTTGCCATAGGTAATACATGAGGACCAAGTTGTTTAACATAAAATTTATGTGAGGGCCAAATTGTCTACCAAAAACCAGCTAACACTCAAGGATTCAAGAAAACAGGTCCACATCCTTAAAACTCTTGAAAACGATGGAGTAATGCATTTGAATCAATTCCATCTCTCTCAATTCACAATAAGCCAAAGAAATGGACCTATCTAACTTTATTTCCCTTCAAACCGCAACCTTAAGAACAGTATCATTGCCTGTCAATTTCGTTCATCCCCCTCAACAAAGAACCAACCACTTTTAGTATGAAAAGTTGGCGTAGCTACCATAGTTTTATTATTACTCAAGAAGATTGCCATCACTACTAGATAGGAATCAAGTAAATTCAGTCTATATCATTTACACAATTTGAAATGAAATTTATCTGATTAAGTATTCATGGTTGCATATGAAGGAAATAGAAGAGAATCTGATGAGGAATTTGTTATAAGCCTTGACTTACGTACGTCTCTGTCAATATTTTCTTAGCAAAGCCAAATTAACGGGTTGCTTGCTATGTTACCACTATAGTTGCGTGCAACTGAAATATTTTAGATCGATTACCTATTTGGTTTACTATAATTGATAAATGCAATTACAACTGCAATTGCGAAATGACTTTCAACTACAACCGTCAAGATGTATTTTAGAGGGATTAGAGGCAGTTTATTTTCCTGCATTTGGTTAGTTTTGCATTAAAAAATGGGATTCACAAGCTTAAAATTCTGGATTATTATCAAATACATTATTTTTTGTAACTTTTCAATCAGGAATATGGGTTGACACGTAGGATGTTTGCATCAAATGTGATTCCCTAGAATTATTATGATTTCACCCGATTTTGTGATTTTATCACACATACTCAACAAAATTCGTGTACAACCAAACAAAATTTGATCGGATTTTAAACCTTATGCAAATCCTCTTTAATATCCATCATAAACAAACACAATTTTAATTATGAGTCTTTAAAAATCCACTACATGAATTAAGATTAATCCGCAAACCAAACAGCCCCTTATCTGTTTTACTATAATTGATAAATGCGATTACAACTACAATTGTGAAAAGACTTTCAATTACAAACAAGGACAAAGATTTGAATTTAACTCACGGTTGCAAACTTTTGACCTGCAAATGGGGTTTTTAAATTACAACCCTAATTACAACAATATCTCTGAGAGAAGTCCAGAAACTCGATTACTCCAAAACAAACAACTGCAAATACAATTGCAGCCACAAATTGTAAAATTAAAATTGAACCAAGCATTAAAAATTACAACTGCATGCGATAGTAGCTGCATCTAGCGACACTACAGTTGCAGCAAACCAAACATACCCTCAAAGAAATCCAACGTCAAGAATGGAGCACGTAACATCTTTCCCAAGCTAAAGCACCATAGCTATAGACTTGGAGGAACAGAACATCCTTTACTAGTTTTTATTATACCATTCAAGTCATAACATGAGACCGCACAAATTCAAACATTAGGACACACAAACTCGGTACTTGGAACAAACATTTCACAAGTGGAACAGAAATAAAACATCAGACAAGATATATATGATACACGTACATAGCAGCATGAAGCATATATCCATGACATTGTACCAAAGCCAATACCTCTCTGGTTCTTCAATAAGGAAAACATAGATGACTTCTGAGTAAAAACAACAAGAACATCAAGTAGCTTGCGTTGAAAGTATATATACATATAAACCAGTAGTCAGAACCGAGATTTCTCAATAGACACTGCCATCGATGGGCAGATCGTCGAAGCTCCACAGTCCCATATCATCCTGAGTCACTTCATTATTCAGAAGACTGTCAACAGATTCATCTGAGCTGCCCTCAAGATAAGGGATCTGTAAGAACTTCATGTACGATTCAAAATCAGAAAGCTCTTCAGAGAGATCCACAACATTGTTATTCTCTTCAGCAGCTACTCCCTCCTCAAAATTGTTCTTGAATTTCTTCATCGGGCCACCAACTTCAAGAAAATCCAGCCCATTACTCTCCGGAGTCTTAGCTTCAAACGAGTTACTTCCCTGATCAGAAGGTGACACAGATTTCACAGGGTTAACTTGCACCTTCTCCTCAATGAAGTCAAAGTCAGAGAAGAAATCAAGCTCCAGTGCGTTCAAATAACCCAAGGATGGATTAGGGATTGGCTTCTCAGAGGATTTTGTCTTGGTTGAATTCTTTGGTGTCTCATCGGGAAAGTTGACCTTGGCTTTTTTGCCACGAATCCTGCAAGCTTCAGCATCGTAGGCTCTCGCGGCTTCTTCAGCAGTGTTGAAAGTCCCAAGCCAGACACGAACCCCTTTGCGAGGGTCTCTGATCTCAGCTGCCCATTTGCCCCATGGACGCTGGCGAATCCCTCGGAACTGGTTCTTGCGCTTCCTCTTTGAAGACCAGTCAGTAGGTGAATCGAGGTCTATGATTTTCTTGGAAATTGGTTCCTCTGCAATATTTTTTTTTCCCCTATTGTAATCAGAATTTTCTCAAAGATTTCTATAGAATAAATTGTAGCTAAATGCAAGAAACTAGATCTATGGAAAGGCAATATGCCTAATATACGATTTAGTCATGAACAATATCAAAGTTCATTAAACATTAAGTTATTCTCTTTTTTTCATATTAAAAGACTAAGTTTGTTATAAATCAACTGCAGAAAGAATGCACATATTCATTATGATGTATCAAATTTAGGAAGCAAAGGCAGCTAACTACACGCCCTAACAAACGAGCAGTATGTACAACAACAACAACAAAGCATTTATCCCAAAATTTCAAGGTCAACTACATAAATCCTATTCTTCATTCAATTCTATTTTAGGCCATCTCCTCCGTTAACTATCATCATATCCTTCTAAGTTGATTTCCCCCTAGTTCTCTTAGGTTTACCTCTAGATATCTTTGTCCCATGAGCAACATGTAATCTCAAAAATTAGAGGGAAAACTAAGAGGTTTATCCAAGAGAAATCTAGTTTCACACCGATTGCCAAAAAATTATAGTAAATAAATAAAAATAAAAAAATTACAAGATTATTACTATCATACAATCTTTTAACTCTTGCTTTACCTTCTGATTTCTATATAACAAAGAACTGTAGATTGATCTAAGCAATCTCCAATCTTTGCCAAAATCTATAAGCTATTTCCATTAAAAAAAATTACTCCTATTTAAGTGAACATAAAGATGCAATTAACCAAAACATACACAGCTTAACGATACTTACAAGGCAAGCTTCACACTTTATCTACAATTGATGGGAAGGATAATTTTGAAGAATAGCAATATCTAGCAAATTGTTTTATTTGCAAAGCCATATTTGATATTTCACCCCATATTACAGCATTTTTAACTAATATTACAGCGGTTTAGATCAAACTACAGCAATTCACCATACTTGGCAGATGTTCTGAGCGTAAATTGATTTTGAAAGTATGTGGGTCTAAAAATAAATCAAGGAAAATGAATTTGTGCATAAAATAAAATAAAATCCAGCCTTAAACTACTGATAATAACAACAAAATCCACAAAGATAAAATATTTAACACAATTTCCATGTGGGTACCTTGAAAGAGGGCAGATTTAGGCCCAAACTCAAAGGGCTTGACATTAACAACCTCAGGTCCCTCCTCAGACCCCTTCTCAAACTCATCAATGAACTCATTGTAGTCGGCTTCAAAATCTTCATCATCCTCAAAGCTCTTTGCTTTCTTCTTCAAATTGGGCGACAGGTAATCAGTAGTGAGCTTTCTGGATCTTGATGGCGGTATGAAGTCGGAGATGATTGCTCCTCCACACATCTTTGAATTGGGTTTTCTGAATTTTTAATTTGTTTTAGTTCTCGTTCGGTTTCTTTTGAGTAGAATTGATGGGGGCCTTATATAGAAAGTGGATGGGCTTTTTGAGGATTGTTTGTTTGCATAAAAGATCTTTATACGACGGGAAAATTTTGTCAAGGCCCCAAAAGTAAAAACTTAATGTCATGCACTCCCTCTGATTTTTTTTCCCCATGTGTTTTAGCCCTTAAATTGGAGATCTATGCTCTGCAGACCTTCTTTAGCAAATACTTTTTGTCAAGACCCCAAAAGTAAAAACTTAATGTGATGTAGTCCCTTTGATTTTTTTTTCCCATGTGTTTTAACCATTAAATTGGAGATCTATGCTCTGCAGCCCTTCTTTAGCAAATATTACATATCAACTAAGCATAGAAAGAGAATAAAAAATAAAAAACCTAAAAATACCCTTATCTCCTCTATTCTTTCATATTAACTCTAAAAGCAGGTTGAATTAGACTTAACATGAAAGTTTAATTTCATGTTAAGTTCAATTTAATTCATGTTAAGTCTAATTTAATTCTTTTTAAGTCTAATTTAAATCGTAATTCATTTTATGTCTAATTCAACCTGTTTCAAGTCTAATTTAATTCATGTTAAGTCTAATTTAACATGTTTTAAGTTTAATTTCATGTTAAGTCCAATTTAATTCATGTTAAGTCTAATTTAATTTCTTTTAAGTCTAATTTAAATCATATTATGTCTAATTCAACTTGTTTTAAGTCAAATTATATGGACTTAACATTAAATTAGATCTAAAAAAGTTAAATTAGACTTGACGTGATTTAAATTAGACTTAAAAGGAATTCTACATGATTGAAATTAGACTCAACTTGAATCAAATTTGACTTAATATGAATCAAATTTGACTTAACATGAATCAAAATTGACTTAACATGAAATTAGACATAAAATAAGTTGAAATAGACTTAACATGATTCATGTTAAATCTAATTCAACTTATTTTTAGACTTAAAATAAGTTGAATTAGACATAACATGATATAAATTAGACTTAAAAGAAATTAAATTATAAGTTGAATTAGACATAACATGATATAAATTAGACTTAAAAGAAATTAAATTAGACTTAATATGAACCGAACTAGACTTAATATAAACCAAATTGGATTTAACATGAATTAAATTGGTCTTAATGTAAAATTAGACTTGAAACAAGTTGAATTAGACTTAATGTGATTCATGTTAAGTCTAATTCAACTTGTTTTTAGACTTGAAACAAGTTGAATTAGACTTAATGTGATTCATGTTAAGTCTAATTCAACTTGTTTTTAGACTTGAAACAGATTGAATTAGACATAACATGATTTAAATTAGACTTAAAAAATTAAATTAGACTTAACATGAACTAAATTGGATTTATCAAACAAAAAAGGCTTAACAGCGCCTTGCTTGTCATACAGGTCGTCTTGAGGAGTAGCATCGGAGCTAGCTTGGCAAGAGAGGAGCTCGAGCTTCATCATTCTCTGAGTCGAGCGAAAGCGTCTTTCTTCGCGTCGGGTCGACCGCTCAGTTGAAAGCTATGAAACAAGTCGACTTAAAACAAGTTGAATTAGACTTAACATGATTTAAATTGGACTTAATATAAACTGAATTGTACTTAACATGAACCGAATTGGACTTAACATAATTTAAATTGGACTTAATATGAACGGAATTGGACTTAACATATAATCCATGTTAACTCTATTTCAGTTTATTTAAGTCTAACTTCATGTTAAGTCTAATTTAAATTAGACTTATAATGATTTAAATTGGACTTAAAACAATTTAAAGTAGACTTAAAATGATTTAAACTAGACTTATCACAAATCAAACTGAACTTAACACGAACCAAACTAGATTTAACACGAATCAAACTAGACTTAACATGAACCAAACTAAAGAACTAAACTAGACTTAACACTAAACTAGATTAAAATTAGACTTAAAAGGAATTAAATTAGATTTAACATGAATCAAAATGGACTTAACATAAAGCAAAATTGGACTTAACATGAAATTAGACTTAAAATAAGTAGAAATAGACTTAACATGATTCATGTTAAGTCTAATTCAACTTATTTTTAGACTTAAAATAAGTTAAATTAGACATAACATGGTATAAATTAAGCTTAAAAGGAATTAAATTAGACTTAACATGAACCGAATTAGACTTAACATAAACCAAATTGGACTTAACATGAATTAAATTAGACTTAATATGAAATTAGACTTAAAACAAATTGAATTAGACTTAACGTGATTTATGTTAAGTCCAATTCAACTTATTTTTAGACTTGAAACAAGTTGAATTAGACATAACATGATTTAAATTAGACTTAAAAGAAATTAAATTAAACTTAACATGAACTAAATTGGATTTAACATAAAATTAGACTTAAAATAAGTTGAATTAGACTTAACATGATTTAAATTGGACTTAATATAAACCGATTTGGACTTAACATGAACCGAATTGGACTTAACATGAACCGAATTGAACTTAACCTGATTTAAATTGGACTTAAAATGAACTAAATTGGACTTAACATGACTTAACATGAACCGAATTGGACTTAACATATAATCCATGTTAAGTCTATTTTATTTTATTTTATTTTAAGTCTAATATCATGTTAAGTCTAATTTAAATTAGACTTAAAATGATTTAAATTAGACTTAAAACGATTTAAATTAGACTTAAAATGATTTAAACTGGACTTAACACGAATCAAATTGGACTTAACACGAACCAACATGGATTTAACACGAACCAAACTAGACTTAACATGAACCAAACTGGACTTAACACTAAACTAGATTAAAATTAGACTTAAAAGGAATTAAGTTAGATTTAGCATATATGAAATTGGACTTAACATGAAGCAAAATTAGACTAAACTTAAAATATAATTCATGTTAAGTCTAATTCTACTTATTTTAAGACTTAAAATAAGTTGAATTAGACATAACATAATTTAAATTAGACTTAAAAGGAATTAAATTAGACTTAACATGAATCAAACTGGACTTAATACGAATCAAATTGAACTTAATTAATATAAAATTAGACTTAAAACATGTTAAATTAGACTTAACATGATTCATGTTAACTCTAATTCAATTTATTTTAGACCTAAAACAAGTTGAATTAGACTTAACATAATTTAAATTTTAAAAATAATTAAATTAGACTTAACGTCAACCAAACTGGACCTAACATGATAAATCTAGAGAGAACAAAGAGGGAGGAGGAAAATGAGGGTATTTTGGGCTTTTATGTTTGTTTCTCTCTCTTTATGCTTAGTTGACATGATAATTACATGGAAAAATAGTTGCAGTACATGATGTGACATTTCTTGGGCTGAACCACATGGAAAAAAAATGGAGGGGCTGCAGCATATGAAGATTTTACTTTTGGGGCCTTGACACAATTTTCCCTTATACTAAAATTGTTTGCTAGTTTCTTTGGATTTATTTGCATATATACCCCTCAAGTCTTATTTATTCACAAATGTCCCTCTAATCCTTGGTGTATGCAAAATTAACCTTCAATACCTCGCATTGATATATTTTGCTCCTTCCGCTTCACAATGTTAGTTTTTAATTGAGATTTTGTTACAGACATATTGGAAATTACTAAAAAGTTTGACATGGCCTTATTTAAAGATCAACATTGTCGAGTAGGAGGAGTGGAAAAACCCAATACACTAGTTTTGAAAGATAATTTTGCAAATATTCAGATTTAAAGAATAAATTTGCAAATATGAGATTTGAGGGTATACATGCAAAAAATCTCTAACTTCTTTCTCTATATTATTTACTAGGAAAATTTGTGCTTGAGCTTTGATATTTTTTTGCTCCTTCCAATTAACAATTTTGGTTTTTAAATGAGATTTTGTTACAAACATATTGGAAATTATTGAAAAGTTTGACATGACCTTATTTAGAAATCAACATTGTTGAGCAGGAGGAGTGGGAAAAAAACCCCAATATGCTAGTTTTGGAAGATAATTTTGCAAATATTCAGATTTAAAGAGTAAATTTGCAAATATAAGATTCAAGGGTATATATGCAAAAAAATCTCTAATTTCTTTCTTTATATTATGTACTAGGAAAATTTGTGCTTGTGCTATGAGGATATATATCCAAAAAAAAAATCTCTAATTTCTTTCTCTATATTATTTACTAGGAAAATTTGTGCTTTGGAATTTGAAAGTAGTTTCAACATCTCTTCTTTTGACTCATTTCGTTGTTGCAACAGCATTTCTGTGTTATAATAATTATTAATTAGATATAGTTGAAATAACACGATATTCCTTAAAATGAATAGTTCCTCCAATGTTTCCTTCTTGTTGTTGTTATTTAACTATTCATAAATTATTTTGATACGTGATTTGCATAATCGTGATATTTGTTTGATTATTATTTGTCTCCATAATGTATGCGGTTGGGGGGGGGGTGGGGGATTGGGGATCATTTATAGAAAAAAAAAACTATTTAAAAGTTTTTAAACAGTGACCACGGGCCTGTTGAACTTAAACATGATTAATTCATAGAGATTAAACAAATATAACAAGAGCGGAAGCTATACATGAATTCATTGTTTGGATCCGAATTAGGGTTTTGATGATCTTCTAATCTTCGGGTTTCTCTTTTAGTATCTCTTTAGATGGGGATTAGAGATTAGAGTGTGTTAACCCTAGATTAGGGACCATAACCCCATATATATATATATATAAGGATAGCAATACACACTGATAAACATATGTGCTCACAAATTAGATTTAATTAGATTTAAATCCAACAGGGCAACTTTGATAGCTTGTTGGGAAGTAATAGGCTTAATCTTGATTTGGTGGACGGTACCAAAAGTTTAGCTATCAAATATTGGCCCCAAACTTCTATGTTAAACTCATCACTTTTTCTTACTCTCTTGCAGCTTAACTTGTAAAAAATGAATTTAGACCGTTTCTAAGAAATTATTAAACAGCAAGGCGATAAAGCCACTGCGATTTTGGGGGAAAACCCATCTTAAATTGTGAGGCATTA